TTGGGACTCTCTATCCCTTTTCCTCCCTTTCAATCTTCATTGGCTTTTAACTAGTCTTAGAGATAAAAGCAAAAACCAAGTTCCATCTATTGGTCACATTCTAACATAATGAAATAGAAGCTAGGAGCAAGCAATAAAAAGAAGAAAAAAAGAGGGCTTATAGCCCAAAGAGGACTGAGCAAGTATCAGAAATGGATCACCAGAGACAGAGGCAGCATGAGCTGACAGATGGGTACAATTCTCCAAGTCTTTATAAGCCTTTGGTGTTCTCCCACTGCTTCTTCCATCATCAGGTCTTACAAGAGAAAACTCATTAAGGAAGAGAAGGCCAAATAGCTGTACCATGTATTTATGATACAGCTGTACCAGGTGCCCTTTTTCTGGAGGTACCTGTAAAAGCTACTAATCACTTATAAAGTAAAAAAGCAAACTGTTGCACAATGGGAGTCAGTGCTGCAGTGGGAGCAAGACCTACCCTGTCCTGATGATGAGAGGAACTGTGTCAGGGCGCACTTACCTTGGTAGAGATGTACGGCACCACTCCAAGGGCTGTCAGAATGTATGTGCTGTCTCTCTTCACCCATACTCCCTACCCCATCATAGTGACTGGCATTTTATGACTATACAAATAAACTTGAACTCTTCCCCTCCTATCATTTGTCTATCCACAGTTACCCTTCCCAAGGTGTTTCCTACTCTACAGGTGGAAGAATTCAGAAAAATCATGTCCCTTTCCCTGCAGGAGGGAAAGCAGCTTTTGGAAAAGGATGGTTTTAGTGGAAAATATGGCCCAAGGATAAAGGTTTATACATGTTATTCCCTCTCCCACCCACAACTCTTCCACTCCTGGTTACTGTTTCTGATGCTGTTTTTCATTTTTTTCATAAAACACAATAGATTGTTCGTGAATCTCCTGTGTATCACCAAGTCTGGCTCAGAAAAATGGTGATCAGGTGCAGTGGAATTTTTCTCATAGCCCATAGTCTGCTTTTCATAATTATGTTATGAGTTATGCTCTTCCAGAATTCCTTCTTCAGTGGAGCTGTTAAAGATATAGGTTGGTATCCTATTGCCTAAATGTAAGCAGAATGGCAATCACGTAAGCATCCTGCTCTGGCAGGCTTCCTATTGCATGACCAGTTGCATGACCAACTGGCAACCAGTTCTGCTAGGAGGGCTGCTAAAGTAGGGAGGACACATAAACAATGCCATTTGGTGCCATGTTTAGGCAACAGGATATTGGTCACAGAATCTTTGTCCTTCTGAGTCTCAGATACCTGTAATCTAAATGTAAGCAAAAAATATTCTCCTACAGAAAATGATAAGGGGAATTTTAAAAACAGCTCTTAATTGGGCAATATCTTTATTAGATTTCCAAAATGTTACAATTAAAATGAGCTTTTGATTTTTCAGGTTTTGTTGGGCAAAGTTGGCATAAAACATGTGATTGGGGCAAATATCGGTCAGATGTGATGCCTATGGCTCGTGAAGTCCATCTACCGACAAAGTGAAAGAGGCATCAATCTGCAGCCTCTCACAATGTGCAGGTTTTTAATTGCAGAAAGGGGAGAGACTGCAAGTTGATACCTTTGTCACGTCTTTCTCACATGGGACCTAGTTTTTCCCTTTGTTGGCAATCTAGTTCCATGAGCAATAAGCAGAACATTTAGCCCAATTTTTGAACTATTTGCTTAAACCCCAAGTTTTGTACCATCTTTGCCTGAGAAACAGTGCTGGAGAATTTGAAAGCTCATCTTATTTGCTTAAATGGGAAATGCAATGCTTGTATTTTGGAGAAGGCGGAGACTGAAGATACTGTTAAAATTATCCACTCCAATTAAGGGCATAGTACCATTAAGTCCTCTGTGTATAGAAGTGCCCAAGGGAATTTTGACTACACTCAGCTTGCCAGAGTTTGACTACACTCAGCTTGCTATCTTATATATTGGCTTATGGATATCGATTTTACCTCTTTACAGTGAGTCCTCTACTCAAGATTATTCCATTTGTACTATTCCTACGTACTTCATTTTTGCTGATTCTGTTAAATGGCTGGAGGGATGGTAGCTTTAAGTTGTTTTTTCCTTTGAAATATTTAATGGAACATGTGATCACTTTAGACATATGCATCTGTAGTTTAGACTACACAGTGGATGATGGTTTGTAAGTGGGGAACAGGGAGCTCAGAAATATTCCAGTAGATGAATGGGAATAGATAGAAGCATGCAGATGCCCAGCAGCCAAGTATCTAGCTTTTGGGGTTGATTACACTAAACGTTTAATCTAGAACTTCCATCTTTGGTTCATTCTCTTTTCAAAGAGAACCCAAATGCTGTTTCTAATGTGTTCTAGTATGTATTTTGAGCTGTTCTCATGCCTCTTTTAGACTTCATCTGTGCAATGTTTGTGACACTTTAGCTTTCTGGAAACAGCCTGTGCAGTGTAGTTGAAAAAGTGGGTTACAAGTTTCTTGGAGTGATTTGTTCCCTTAATTAGAAGCTTCCTTTGAACAGTTTCTTTCCCCAGAAGCTGTGTAAGAAAAAGTGACAGAATTTGTTGACTCTCTGGTGGTTTTGTGGAGAATAGGACAAATCAGGGAATAAAAGAGAGGAATGAAAAGATGTTATAGCAGACATTAAGGGTGCCATTAGACAGGTAATTGTCCCAGTCTTTGGTCCACTGTGGGGACAGGCTAGTTTGCCTCATTCTGGGGAAATCAGACAATTTAATTGCTAGCGCAAACAAGCCCTTCCCCAGAATTTTCCTATCTGCACCTTTCTGGGTCCCTGTCAGGAGCTACTGTTTGTAGTGGATTGTACTGGAAAAAGGGAACTCACCTTATCCTCTCCCACTACAACATTTGACATAAAAGCCCACAGAAAGTGTGTGGGTGAGACAAATCTTAAGGGGAGTGTGTATGTCCTACTATTGGCACATATGTCATTTAGTGAGATGATGCTCAAAGATCTGCATGCCTGAGCACTTAGGTTTGGAAATTAAGCCTGTGTTTATCTTCTAATGATGATCACAAAACAAAGCTCTCTGAAATACTAGATGGTGAGACAGGGAAACATGTGCTAGAACAAAGAAATGACTATAATCGCTTAAGGCCATAAGATTTTTAAATGCAAGCTAAGCTAATCATCTAATTTTACCCTTTGGGAAGAATGCAGAGATTTGGAGAAGGTGTCAAATCTCATCAGACTTTGAACAGGAATTTTCTGCCTGAATTCAGAATAGGAATGTACAGGCGTGATAAGACCAGGCACAAAATCAGCAACAAGCAGTTGTTTTTCCACATATTTCTCTATGTGGAGTCCAGACGGCCTCAACAGAATCCCCCTCACAAATGCAGAAGCCCCCAATAGGCCATTTGGTAAAGAGGAGGCCTATCAGCATAGATCGCAAACTATGAATAGCAATAAAAAGTAAAGAGCAGGAAAGGTAACACTTTTTTTATCCAGCGATATGAAAAGGGCTCACTATGGCTTCTTCTTCCTCCTCTTTTGAAGTTTTTGCTCACAGCAATTAGATTTATTTAATTTACTTATTCATTTAAATTATTTTGCCCCGACTTTCTCCTTAAAAAAAAAAACCCAGCTCACATCATTAAAAAAACAATATTTAAACGAAAGCAATAACAAAAACAAATTCAAAGCAATAAAGGCACAACAATCCATTTAAAAATTCCACTCAGGCAGTCAGTCATTGAGGGGAAGCTTGCCTGAAGAGAAAGGACAGCAACAATGGGGCCAGCTTGGCCTCCTGTGGGAGGGAGTTCCAAAGTCTGGGAGCAGCCACAGAGAAGGCCCTCTCTCGTGTCCCCACCAAACATGCCTGTGAAGGTGGCAGGACTGAGAGGAAGGCCTCTCTTGATGATCTGAACACCCAAGTAGTTTCATAAAGGAACATGTGGTCCTTAGCTTGGACCCAAGCCATTTGGGGTTTTATAGGTTAGAACCAGCACTTTGGATTGTGCCCAGAAATGGATCAACAGCCAGTGGAGCTCCTGTAATAGGGGTTATGTGATCCCTGTAATCAGCCCCAGTCAGCAAATGGGCTACCATGTTTTGGACCCGCTGAAGTTTACAGACACTTTCCACAGGCAGTCTCATATAGAGCATGTTACAGTCATCCAGCCAGAATGTAACTAAGGCATGTGTCACTGTGGCCAGATCTGATCTCTCCAGACATCCAAACAAACTCATGTGAATTCACCATAATGTTTTTATTCACTGCTTACTCTAAATAAAAAAAGTTGAAGGATTGGAATCAAACTACCCTTATCACTCATACAGATTGTACACATTATTAAAGTTTATAAGAGATTATGTCAATAGTATCAAAAGTTTAATAAAGCCTTATAAATTGAAACTTGGCTGGAGGCTGAAACAATAAAGTACAATTTCCTCCAAATGTGTCAAATTCCTGACAACAATGAATGTCATTATTTCAGAACTGGACACTTTAAAACAGCTGTATACAAGGTATAATTTCCTTGTTCTCAGTAGCCTATATAGGTAGGTCATGTAAGACTCAAGGCAAGGTGAAGATTAAACTGTTTCAGTTGAAGATCTGGATCCCTACCCCTACCCCAGCTTTTTAAACAGCTGATTATACAACATCAGCTAGAATCGTATTCCTTGCAGCCACTGGTATTAAGTTCAACAGTGTAGATTTCAGAGGTGAATTGCCACAAGTTAAGAAGTAAGTGGTTGTATGTTCTGTTTGTGCTGTTGCATGACTTAGTGCACAACAAGAAATAAAAGCATCAATTTCTTCACTAGAGGAAATTTACACCTGTAATTTATACCATTACACACCCCATTGGTTGCGACAACAAATATTCTTGAGAATTAGAAACAGGAAGCTCCATGTTGTCACAAAAGGTTTCTGAAGAACTGACAAATAGAGATACCTGCCTTTTCTGCTGAGCTTCCCACCATTATTTATAATAAAACTTATTCACCCCTCATCTAATGTATTCTCTCTTTCCTTAGATAATCTGTGGAATGACCAGAATCTGGAGGCAGATCTTGACCTTCCCCCAGGATGGAGAAAAATCCATGACTCCTCAGGGACATACTACTGGCATGTGCCCACAGGCACCACACAATGGCAACACCCATCCTTCACTTCTGACCTGGGCCACAGCGGGGAAGCTGCTTTGGAAGAAATGGTATCAAGAGTCTAAAGCTTCTTCTATATGGTGGATGCTGTCCACAGGGACACTAACACCAGCTATCCAACTCTTGGTCTCAACTTGGTTAGGGCTGATTTTAGCCCAAGAACTTGGATTTTAATTTTTGTCCAGATCAAAGCCTAGGCTCACAATTCTGCAACTGTGGCAGACATGCAGAGCCTTTGTGGTGAAACTGAGCAGAGTAGCATTTGTGGATTTAGCTCATCAATATTTGTATGTGTGAATGCTTTTATGGGGTCTCTATTTTACTAGAAACAACAGACAGCTTGGCTTTCAGAGCTAATGTTATAGTTTAGAGGCACTTTCTCCACAGAATTTAATCTGTAAAGTCTCAAGTCAGAAGGAGCATGTACCTTGACACTAAGTATGTTTACTTGGGTTTATTTTAATAGATCTTCTTCTTTTTATTTAAGATCACATTGTTCTTTAGTCCACATAGGAGAAGAGACTATCCATGAAGGTATTGTGATGAATGCCCAGGATACAGTAAAATAAATGTAATGTAGTCACTACTGAAATCTACTGAGTTGTAATAAAGCCCACGCCATCTTTGCAGGAAAATCTACTTGTTTATGGGGGTACCAATCTGTTGTGTTTTGGGGGGTTGGTGTTTGTTTGTTTGTTTGTTTTTGTTAAGACTTTGTTCAGCTAGAATCTGATTTTTTTTTGAAGCAAAAAAGTAGGACCTGCAAGAATATGTCTTCAGCACTTTTCAGAAGTGTTGCTGTTCATTATTCTCAGCAGCTCAGTACAAGAGCCTGTGTGACATTTACAACTTGCAGTGGATAACTTTCTACTTTTCTACTAGCAGTACAGATAGGCAATTTTAGATTTTGGAATTGTTTTAAAGGAGGAAATGATGCTTGCTAGATTGATTCCACAGTTCCACCAACAGAAGTCTGTCAACTGGACAGAGAGACTGTAGTGGAGATTTTGGTATTGACTATAAACTAGGAATTTCCCTTTCTAGATTATAAAAATCATTACATGCTGTGTAGCTATCTCAATATCTATGTCTTCAATATCTTGTAGTTCCCACAAAGCGAAAGAATTATATATAGATTTCAAGAAGACTCTGTACCAGCCCTTGTTACCTCAGACCCATGGTGACTGATAAATCTGTATCTTTTTTGCGAGAATGACTGTGGGATCAAGGGTCCACTTTAACTGTTATTTAATCCTCTCAATATGTCATGCTTAGATGAATTGCTGGATGCTTTAGAAAATAATAATAAAGAGCTGTCTTAAAGGTCCTCTTCTGTATTGGCTGAAGCACCTTTCATGAGCTTCTTCTCTGCTCTCATTCAGGATCTTCGGACTGCTACAGTGAGACATATGTCCAGAGACAGACCTATTCCAAGCCCAATGGCATCACTTCCCAGAAGGTAAGATTTTCTCCATAAGCAACGTGCCCCCTGGCCATATCTAATCTTGGTGAAAGTGAAAGAGGGATTTGTTATCTTACTATATTCTCCTTTGGCTGTCTCTCTAATGACATAGATCTCTGTAGGTCCAAATAAATAGGTTTGCTCCCATTCCACATATATCTGGTCTACTGTTGTTTAGTCAGGAAGAAACCTTGCCCCCCCACCGCTTTAGTTAACATCCTACTTACACAACCATTTTCTGTTGTTTTCAGTACAAAATGTTATGCCAAAGTAGAAAGCACATCAGGAAAGAAAGATACAAGTTATCTGTTGCCTGGGGGTCACATCTATACTTTTATTCCTGTTTTGATTCTGGGGTTCACCCAACTTGCATGTAATGAGACTGCTCATGAGTCATGAAATCCCTGGGATCAGAGCAGGAACTCTTTAATTGTTGGCAATCACCAGCCGCCAATGGCATCCCTAGAATAACCTTTTTGACAGTTGAAAGTCATGATCATCTGTGGAAAGCAGGATACTGTACTGTGGAAAGCAGATCATTCTAAGATATGGCCAATTTTCATTCTAAATCGAACTGTGCAGCATGTCATACGAGCAACAAGGCCTCCACTAAAGATTGTACTGGCCTAATAGGTCTGTGCATTCTAAATTAAACTCAGTAATGTGCCAGAGAATTGACAGCGACGAGATACATGGTTGTCACTCACCCTTTCCTGACATTTATTTTGGAGCTTGAATAGAAGCCCCAAGAGCTTGTACCAAATGACTGGGAAACTCTACGTCACTGTTATACTTGTTTATCTGTTACAGGATATCATTGAATTATCATGGTGAGGATCATCCTCAGAGCAACACAGAGCCCAGCTCCAAGGTAAGTCAGCTAGTGGGTGGCACTGGGGGCACTTAACTGAGATTGCAGGTTTTCTTTGGGATAAAGTGGATAGTTCAGCACAGATAAGGCTATCCTTACAAGTCAGCTATAGAGGAATTGTCCCTCTGTGATTTGCCATGTGGTAATTGGATTCTGTCTCTGGCTAGCCTCTTTTTCACCTGGAGAAGTATAATGTGTCATCTTCTAGTCCTCTGAATCTTCTCTGTTGAGTATTGCAGCTGTTTAGTAGTCTCTATTTCATGGTGCATTCCCCCATATCATAATGCAATGTTATGCATGCCTACTTAGAAGCAAGCTTACAAAGTTAGGTGGAACTTGCTCCCAGGTATGTACATATGTATAGATTCGCAGTGCTGGCCTTCTCTGCATTCCAAAGAGCACCTAATGAATAAGAAGCAAGTATGTGTCATAGAGTTGGCTGGGTATAGAATGTGGAAGTCTGAAAGCAAGCAGGAAGAGCAAAACAGTTGTATTTGTGTCTGTGTGTGTGTGTGGCCTCTGACCATAGTCACAAGGTTACAAAGAGAAGGACAGGGCTGTTCCTCTTCTCGGTGTTAGCTCAGACATCCATTAACAGCAGCAAACGAGATGGGCAAAGTGGGGGGGGGGGAGGCCTGCTGAGACCTGCCTATCATTGCTGACACTCCTCTCCTGTCTCTCTGGCCAGTGCTTTGTTGTGCGCTCCTTAGGCTGGGTGGAGATCCCCGAGGAAGACTTGGCTCCAGGCAAAAGCAGCATCGCAGTGAATAATTGCATCCAGCAACTCTCTCAAAGCAAGTGTGACAATTGGGACCCTGCTGACAGATGGGGTGAGGTGAGTACCAGAGGAGAGAGACTCTGGCAAGGCAGTGGAGGGGATAGGTGTGTTCATGATGTCCACCACCCTGGACTTCTAGCAGTCTCCTTGCTTAAAGTGGCTTTTGTTGTACTAGCCCTGAGTGCTCTCCAGGTCTCCCTCGGCATCAACCACTGGCCGTAGTGGTGCCTGGTTCCACTTTGGCTCCACTTGTTGTTGATTAGTCGTTCAGTCATGTCCGACTCTTCGTGACCCCATGGACCAGAGCATGCCAGGCCCTCCTGCCTTCCACTGCCTCGGCTCCACTTGTACTGTCGTAGAAAATTGTCTCTTGTGCTAGTTCATCGGCTGAGGTTTTTCAGTCCTGATGAAAAGGCTAAGATGTTTTGATTTAAAAAAAAAAATTCAGCTTTGCACTAAGAATTAAACAAACAAAATGTCCAACAGGGAAGAAAAGCAGTATAGGTCCCAGGTGTTTTATTTCATTTTTCATTTTACAAAATTGTCATAAACAATAAAATACTCCTTTTGGCCAGGCATAGCAGTCAGTAAAAGCTTGGTATATGTTTGGTGAAATCTGACGTCCGCCATCTATGTATATAGGCAGTTCAGGTACAACAAGTGAAGATCTGTCTATTGATGGATAGTTGGACAGTGTTTCCTTTTGCAGTGCTATAAAATAATAAATTTGATGACCAAAATGGTACAGCAAATCTGCTGTTGTGTATGTTATCCTATCAATGTCAGGTTGTCCATTAGTTTGGGGCCAGTTTCTAGAATGGAGTTGCCATGTTGTGGATGATGATCTTATTCCAACATTGAACAGCAATTGGATGTATACCACACTATGCCTGTTAAGCAGCTTTATGCAGCACTGGGGGTGGCCTAGAACAGAGGTCGGCAGCTACAGCCTTCCTGATGTTTTTGCCCTACAGTTCCCAACAGGACTAGCTGGCAGAGCAAATGGTGAAGGACAACGGTAGGTGACGTTCAAAAGCATCTGGAGTACCACAAGTGCCCCACTTCTGGCCTAGAAGATAAATAGTACAGTCCCAGGCTCCCAGACCCTCCCCATTAGAGCTGTTATTGGGAGGTGGTGGCCCCTATGAAGGGTCTCCCCCATTCTTCACCTTTGGCCTCTATGATCTTCTCTTACAGGGCCAAAACATGGTGATGGTCTTGAAGAAGGACACCATGAGTCTGGTGGATCCTTTAGACCACAGCCTCATCCACAGCCAGCCCATCATTAATATCCGTGTCTGGGGTGTGGGCTGTAACAATGGCAGGTGAGTAGTGGCCTCCCCGATGGTCAGGGAAGAGTTTGTATGCCCTGATCCTTCTCCCCCTGCTGCTGTAGGGCTTAAGTCCCAATCTTAGCCTAAATGTAGGGGATGAACCATAGGCAGTGGGGGATGTAAAATTTTGGCATAGGGCCATCCATCCAGCTGATCTGCTCTTCCCTTTCTCCCTACCAAGCCCTTTGTTTCCCTTGCCAAATGGCATTCCAACACCTAGTACAGACACCCTGTGTTAACTCTCCTTTTCTTTTCTCTCTCTATGCTATGCCTGATCAAGGGACAGGTAAGGCCCCCCTCTTCCTTCTGCAACAAGGACAAGAGCTTGGAGCCCTGCCCCTGCTCACTGGGCTCTCCTCTCCTTGCAGGGATTTTGCCTTCGTGGCCAGTGACAAGGACACGTGTATGCTGAAGTGCCATGTCTTCCACTGCAATGTGCCTGCCAAGGCCATTGCCAAGGCCCTGCATGAAATGTGCTCCAAGGTACCCCTCCTGACTTGTAGCACAATTCTTTCCATGCACAGACATAGGAGGAGAGCAGAGTGGGGCCGCCCTGGTGGGGCAGCCTCAGGACCTCTCAGTGGGCAGCCAAGAGTGTTGTGTCCTGGTTATGACCTGAAATAAGCCTTAGGTGCCATATACTTATGAGCCTCTCTATTCCATGGATCTCATCAGAACTAGACTCCCAGATGTTGCTGGTGAAAGTCAACGTTACAAGGAAATACACATTTCTGTGCAGCCTTGTATCGTAGTAGGTCCTATTGAACAGAGTGGCTTTTAATGCCTGGGTAAACAGGCACAGAACCAGGCTGCATTTATTATACTAAGGGGGCTTCCCTGTTAACTTCTCACTTCTGGGTAAAGTGCTGGAGATCAAAAGTGTTGTATCTGTAATGCTCTTTGTCAATAACTGTGCCTTTCCTGGGTTACCATCTTGGCGAAGTGCCTTCCTGAGTTTCTCCCCCACCTGAAGTTCAGGTAGCAATCCCCAACCTTTCCTGGTTTGTTTCTGTATTGTAGATCATGGCCGAGCGAGCAGTGGCAAGTAACAGCCTGACACGATCTGTTACCCTGGAATCTGTCACTCCAGATGCCTTACCTTTGCAAGGTGACAAGACTTTACATTCTGCATATCCCTTCCAGACCGTAACAATATTATGTATCTGGCTGGTGGGTTTCCTGCAGACTTCTGGAGGTTGTAGCTCATGAATGCTGAAAATCCAATGCCCAACCTGCAGTGATCCATAAATAAATTCAGCAGGGCTTACTTTTGGATGAGTCTGGGTGGTGAAGCATCTCTTGTGTTTTGGTACTTTCTCCTTTCTACTGACCTGGGATTTATTTGCTGAGTAGCAGGAGGAAGAGGTTAAGTTCACAATCTTTTGCTCTGTCCTGGCAGTTGATGTTTTGGATGCTGTGAGAGAATCTGTCCAGAAATTTGAAGCTTTTTATGTCGGCAGCACACCTGTCCCCAAAGCTATGGGTAGGTCACTCTTATTGAATTCTGCAGCCTATTTATTTATGTGTGCGATGGGCCAAGCTATGCTCAGCATATACTAAGATGTAGATGCTCTTAGGAGCTGGTGTCATGAAGGTATAGAAAAGAGCTCTGCTGGGACCCTGCAAGGCCACCTTGTCCACTTTGGGCACCCTTTCGCTAATATCTTGGCTGTGCAGACTATGGCTGAGTAGGGCAAAGCCAGGGAGATTTCTCATCACCAACTCCATCTTCACCCTGAATAAGAAAGCATCATTGGGACTTGGGTTTTGCTGGCAAGAGTATCCAAAAGAAAAGCATGAAGTGAGGTTGTGTCTTTCCCAGGACTGCTGTAATGGAATTTGCAGTCCAAAATGCTTCCTCTATTTTTATTTCTTTCTTTTTTTAAATAAGGGACATCACAGTTTAGCCCTGCAGTAGCTGGTCTTCAAGAAATCGCTTAGAGGTGCATGCATGTTTGAAGACATTCAGTATTAAATTAGAGTTAAGGGAGCTAGATGTTGCTTTCCATTTGACTGTTGTCCTCCTGAAAATATTCAGAATGGAGATTTTGGTGTCACCTTTCTGCCTCTACTTTGCACATCTCCTTGCCCTTGGAATTGATCCTTAGCTTTAGTCAAGGTGACCTGGATGTTTCTGTAATTCAAATAAGAAGCATAGCTGGCTCTTCTTCAACTAGTGAGCAGCAGTCCAGCTGTGACCTGCCTCATCCAATTCTTTCTTGCCTCACCACTTCAGGGATGGAGGTGCTCAACAATGCCATTGAAGAGCTAATGGGCAACTGTGAACGTGGGCAGTGGACTCCATCTGTCATCAGTGTTTCAGACTCAGTGATGCAAGCAGACCAGCTTGTGGTGAGTCTTCATGGAATATCAGTCATGCCAGCATCTTCTCTCTCTCTCTCTCTCTCTCTCTCTCTCAGAATCTGAGTGAAGACGTTTGGTCTACTTTATGATCTAGCTTTGCACTTGCAAAGACAGAGTGACTGGACACAAAGGAAGTGTGGAGTTTAGGTCTGTAGAACCAGTTGCTAAATGCCAAAATCCCAGTCTTGCTATGGCTTTGTTCCTCTCGAGTCAGAGAGTATCATAGATTACACATGCGGACTGGATTTCAGTGATACTGTAGACAATTTCCAATTCCATGGTTTAGCAAGTATCTCTCTGCAAATGTTCAGGGCTCTGTTCTCATTCCATAGTTTGGTAGGTACTAACATTTTACGCATATGTCTAAACACTCCTTGGCGTAGGCTGAAAGCAGCTGATCATCTTGATTTGTTATAATTACTGTTAATTAATGTTGCCTCCTTTTAAACTGGCAAATTATTGACAGTCCAGCTAGTCATTGTGATGTGCAACAAAGTGGGGTAGAGGAGAGCAAAGCATTGAGCTCATTGGAGGAAAGATAGGAATAAAATGTATATGACAAATGGCCTCCATATACTGAGTGCGCATAGAGTGCAGTACAGATTAGGCAGAATTACAGTGAAATGCAAGAGGAGTGCTAGTCTGAATGCATCCTTTGTCTAAATCTGATGGGATTATTTTGTGTTCTTTGAGGCTGCGGAGGTGGAGCAAGAGGAGGAGGAGGAGGAAGACAAGGAGAACACCTGCATTTGGCAGTGCCACGTCCGCTACGTAACTTTTATTGGGATTGGAAAAGACCCCCATACATTTGCACTTATTATCGACATGGGGCAGCAGCGTTTCCAATGCACAGTCTTTTGGTGTGAGCCAGATGCCGGCATCATTTCGGAGGCAGTGCAAGCTGCATGCATGGTAAATGCGAAGACATTGATGGAGGCCTGACTTCAGCAGGATTTCAGGCGAAGCTTCTTCTCACCCCACCCCAGATCTGTTCTTCACCCAATATACAGAGCTATCTTTTTGCCTTGCACGTTTTGAGCCCCAGAGCTCTTTGCTAGTCCTATTCCCCCCTGGACAAATACTAATTTGGGGTCCTAGTCCCCAGGGATTTCAAGTGTCTGAAGCTGGGGTCACTGATAATTAGGTTGTTGTTCATGCCCTGCATGCACTGATGCATCTCTTCTCATAACTGCATGAACGGACTGCCCTGTCTTTCATAAGCCAACGAGACAGATAGAAATGGCTAATTCAATGGAATGGCAAAAGACAGTGATTATAGGTTTTTGTAAGCCCTTACTGTTTCCACATTGCAAATTCACCATGGTCTGTTTTTTTCCCCCCAATAGGTCCAGTACCAGAAATGCTTAGTGGCTTCTACATCGCGAATGAGACCAAAAATTGGTTCACGTTCCATGTTGAAAATGAAAAGGACTGTGTCTGTAGACTCACCGGTGTGTCCATTTTCCGTTACGGGGCACCCCTTACAGAAAAATGGCAGTGGGGCACCCACACGCAAGAGAGGGGTTTTCTCTTTCTTTGAAGCCTTCCGCCAAAAACATTCCATGCTCCACACTTCTTAGGACAAAAGGCACAGCATGGAAGAGCTGGTGGCCCCCAGATGATACTTTGAACCATAGCCACCTTCTCATATCCAGCCTCAGAATGTAAATAGCGCAAATATTTTGTCTGTTGATTCTCTTACTGAAGCTCAAAGAGCCAACAGATCCAAGCAAGACCAGTTCATGAGCAAGGATCCTGGCTGATTTTGGACCTGCTATGCATATTTTCTCTTAATCCTTTGCTATGTAGTGGTCATGAGGAGGAGGCTTTGGGAGAAGAAAAAAACAATGCTGCACATGAATGTTTGAAAATGTTCTTTGGCATGTGGAGCAAGCAGCACCAAATGCACCGCACAGGCTTAAAGCCCTGCTCCTTACACTTGATGGGTTCGTGGAGCAGAGCCGAACAGGCATGTCAGCTTTTTTGGAACAGTAGCTGCACTTGATTTCATGTAGTAAAAGCAGTGGATATCCCCAATTCTCCTTCCCCAGTTGTAGCATGAACGCTTAGCGTATGAAACCTAGCTGCAGGTCTCCATGGAAGACGGGAGGAAGCTTTGCAACTTGAGGCAGTGCGTGGGCCCCTGCATTTGTCAGACATAGATACGGAAAAGCATTCCCTTTGATAACTGGTCATAAACAATCTACATGCTGTCAATCCATTCCATGAGGCAAAGACACCGTTTCATCATTTTCACCACATGGAAGCCCCTTTCCCAGTATAGGTAAGATTGGCAGAGGCCCACAATAGGACTCTGTCTCCTTGGCAAAGTCTACGCCAGCCATTTAACCTCTGAAAAATGATTCAGCCGCTAGTGGCTGGCACCATCCTGAGGTTGCTAGCCCCTTGGATATTGGGAAGAAGCTCCTCTGAAACAAGCCAGGGATCGTAATTTAGCACAGAACGATCAATTGGTGTACATAGCTCCAGTGCTCACTAACAAAATGTCTGTAACAAATGTGTGCGCGTGTTGCGCCATCACTCATGATTGTCTTTTATAACAACACCAGCATGCCTAGCCTGACACTTGGACTGGTACTATTACCATATAGCTCACTGCTGGTGAACAACTGCAATAGACACACAAGTGATTTGTGTTTTGTGAGAAGGGAAGTAGGGTAAGGCTCCCTGTGGATCTTCATACCCTTCCTTTCTTCCTGCACATAAATACAGAGAGCCTCTTTCTCCAACACTGGTGAAATTGCTTGCTGGGTTCCACTTCATCTGTGTCTACAAATGGGTGGCTGACATTGGTGAGAGGAAGGGGGACATCTCTATATACATTCCCTTTTCAGTTTTCAGTCTGTGTAACTATTTTCGTTTCCTTATTTAGAAGTAGCCCTAGATTAAGATAGACTCAAGTCTACCTCAGTGATACTTTATATCTGATGATTTGTGCAAATAAACTAGTAATATGGAAGAAAGCTACACTTGCTTTATAGTTTGGCTTCTATTTCTAGGTGTTACACTGGTCCTGGAATGAAGTGCCAATGTGAGTGGGGAAATGAATAAATCTAATTTGCCGTTAGTTTTAAGTCACCGTATCAGTAACCCAGTTAGATCCATAGAATGGAAATGCCCCAAAGTAGCCTCAAACAATACTGTAAGTCTGCAGCGCAGATATAAAACAGGATTATTTTGAAGTAAATTCCATTGAATTAAAATTCAAGTAAGAATGGCACGGTGATTAGTGTATCATGCTGGAGTGACATGGATCCAAATCCTTGGGCTAAAACTCTTTCGAAAGGAACTGGACCCAGATCTAATAAACAAAAAGCTTTTCAAAAGCATAGCTAACACAAGTGCAATACTCATGCCCTTGAAGAAGGCTGAAACGTGTTGGGCTTTTATTTTGGAATAAAGTCCGTACAGTACTACAATTTTTACATCCTGGGACTATAGTTTCTTCTTGTCTACATCATGTATTTGCAATAAACAGTCTGTTGGCTTCACAGAACTCTGTGAATCATTTTCCTGCTCAGTTTCTATCTCCTAAAACAAACTTTCCATATACTTTAATGATGGTTATGTTGATAGATTTTCCAGTGAGTCTGACTGATATTATTTAGTCAGACTTCACATTATAGCTTCTAACTGCCTATGCTACGTCTTGCCTGAGTATTAGAGCCACACCATTTCTTCTGGGTTTGTCATTTCTGGAGTACAACACTTTGTAGTTTTCTGGAAAATATCCCATTTCTATTTTAATTCACTGACATGAAACACTGCAACATTTATATGTTCAATATCTTGCTTTACGATTTCCAGCATTTTTTGTTGCTGTTTAGTCATTAAGTCATGTCTGACTCTTCATGACCATATGGACCAGAGCACACCAGACCCTCCTGTTTTCCACTGCCTCCTGGAGTTTGGTTAAATTCATGTTGGTAGTTTTGATGACACTGTCCAGCCATCTCGTCCTTTGCCGTCCCCTTCTCCTCTTGCCTTCACACTTTCCTAACATCAGGGTCTTTTCCAGGGAGTTTTCTCTTCTCATGAGATGGCCAAAGTATTGGAGCCTCAACTTCAGGATCTGTCCTTCCAATGAGCACTCAGGGCTGATGTCCTTCAGAATTGATAGGTTTGATCTCCTTGTAGTCCAGGGGACTCTCAAGAGTCTCCTCCGGCACCACAATTCAAAAGCATCAATTTTTCTCCAGTTAGCCTTCTTTATGGTCCAGCTCTTACTTCTATACATTGCTACTGGAAAAACCATAGCTTTGACTATGCGGACCTTTGGCGGCAAGGTGATGTCTCTGCTTTTTAAGATGCTGTTGAGGTTTGTCATCCCTTTCCTCCCAAGAAGCAGGCGTCTTGTAATTACAGTGGTGCCCCACTAGACACTTACCCTGGTAAACGACGAAATCACTTGACGATGACTTTTTTGCGATCGCTATTGCGATCACAAAACAATGGTTTCTATGGGGGAAATCTGCTTTACGTTAATTAGGTCCTTGCTTCGCGTACCTTTTGTTGCAAAACAATGTTTTCTCCGGCTCTGCAAAATGGCTTCCCTTCGCAAAATGGCTGTTTTCCGAACAGAAGCTTCGGAATACAGTGATTTTAAACAGCTGATCGGTGGTTCTCTATGGGCGATCTTTGCTGGACGAAGAGGTATTTCCCCACTGGAACGCATTAAACGGTTTTCAATGCATTCCAATGGGATTTTTTTGCATAATGACAATTTCGCTGTACAGCGATTTTAACGGAACGGATTATCGTCATCATGCGAGGCACCACTGTACATGGTTGTTGTCACCGTCTGCAGTGATCATGAAGCCCCAGAAGGTATAATCTGTCACTGCCTCCATATCTTTCTCTTCTATTTGCCAGGAGGTGATGGGACCAGTGGCCATGATCTTAGTTTTTTTGATATTGAGCTTACAACTATTTTTGCACTCTCCTCTTTCACCCTCATTAAGAGGTTCTTTAATTCCTCCTCACTTTCTGCCATTACAGTGGTATCATCTGCATATCGGAGGTTGTTGACATTTCTTCCGGCAACCTTCATTCTGGTTTGGGATTCTTCCAGTCCAGTCTTTGGCATGATGTATTCTGCATATATGTTAAATAAGCAGGGAGACAATATACTGTACAGCCTTGTTGTAATCCTTTCTCAATTTTGAACCAATCAGTTGTTCCTTATCCAGTTCTAACTCTTGCATCCTGTCCCACATATAGGTTTCTCGGGAAATAGATAAGGTGGCCAGGAACTCCCATTTCTTTAGGTACTTGCCATTGTTTGTTGTGGTCCACACAGTTGAAGGCTTTTATGTAGTTAATTATTTGGGACTGGGATGTAGACTGATCTTTTCCAATCATCTGGCCACTGCTGAGTTTTCAAAATTTCCTGGCATATTGAGTGTAGCATCTTAAGAGCATCATCTTTCAGGATTTTAAATAGTTCAACTGGAATGCC